GAGGGATAATGAGGACAAACAACACCCCAGCTGGGCAATGATCAACCAGAACGTTCTTGTGCACACGCACAGGCCCTGGCCTGGACGCTGCAATGACCGGACAAAGGGTGTGCTTCCATGGCATCACACACGGAGATTTCCTTTCTTACTCCCACCACACATTCCAACAGAGACATACATAAGCACTTTTTGTGCAACTGAAACTTGGAAGCAGCCGTGTAGAAATATCGACTGAGACACTATGCATCATTTAAGCTTAAAGAGAAAAAAAATACAGTCTTGTTTTTCTTGGGACCAGAGACAGACCACAAGGTACTTCTAACTGTGGGATTTAACTGCTTGAAAACCTTTTTGGAACCAGTCTTCGAATGAATAAAGCAAGCTGTGCAACCTTGGATGAGTTTATGTGGACTCTCCGAGCTCTGGTTTCTTGCACTCACCTCCAAAGTACAGACGGCACTACTTACTACCTGGCCTTGTGGCCAGGGTCAGCTGTTGAGCATAGGCTGGAGGGGCAAGAGCCAAGAGCATATGCAGCACCAAGCGCTCTGGAACCCGCAGTGCCAAACCCTGAGACAGCAAACGCTCGGGCCAAAGCATCCTGCATTTTGTGATTTGTCCACTACCCCCACTGTAGGCCCACCTTCAGCTGTGACCGGAGTGACAAAGGGCCTTCTAAAGAAACCGCAGAACAGATTCCTACCGACTACAGTCCATCCTGGACATTGCAGAATGGGTCTCAACTCAGCTGTGGACAAAGAAAGTTGCTGGTTTCTCCTAAGCCCAAACTCAACACGTCAGGCCACAGCACTAGATTTCTGCTGAGTCAGAGCTGGTGGCACTGCTGTCTTTCTCATTACCTGCTGCACTTCTAGGAAACATGGTTTCTCTTTCCTTTTCATCTTGTGTGTGTGCGAGGCCAGAGGGAACAGCTTAATAAATGCTGGATTAATACTGACATGAAAGAAGATAATTCCAACACCAAATGTCAGGTCACTTCTATCATGAATAACTTCATACAAATGAGTAGATACAGTAGTGACTTAATGGGGGAGAGAGGAATATGTAACAGACCCCCCCTGTACAGATCACTTAGTGGCATCAGTCACTGATCCATGACCAATCTTAAGTCATCAATAATTTGGATTACTTTGAAGAAGATTCCAGGTCAGGACAGCTCTTAATAAGCTTTGGGTGATTAGTGTTTTCATCTCTCCTAAAACTCTGGGTACTCAAACCTCTGTCATAACAAGCAACAAACAATACCGCACCTCCTAACAGTACAGTCCTACAAATCCATCATGACCTGATCAAGAAAAGACCAACAAAAGTCCCCCATCTCTATGGCTTGGGGGTACATTTCATATGACTACCTAAGAGACCAATAAAAGCAATAGAGTAATTCTAGAAATACCTGCAGGAGAAGAAACAAAGACCTTAAGCAAGCTCATGAAAGGAGGAAGACAAGTCTGTGCTGGGTGGCTGATATGCCCAGACCTGGCCCCGCCCAGGCATCGGGGAGAGGCGGGTGTTCGACCAGATGCAGAAAGGGCACCTGGACCCTTGAGAAGATGCGGGGACTCGTGGAGCACAGTCACAGAGCTTATAAGTGACGACAGAAATAAAGCTACCCAAGCTGCCTCCCGCCTTCGGGGTCACTCTCGAAGAGAAATTAATTAACCAACTGCAAAGTTCACACACCGAGGGCCTTTGAGGGGCTTTCTGTGCCAAATTAATCCAGTGACAGAAGGCTGCGTGGCTCCTGATTAGTTATTTTTTTGGAAGCAAAACTCACCTCAGGTGCTCTCCACCCCACCCCTCACCCAGGCCTCCGGTGTCAGCTTCCCTTCTCCCTCTGCGGCCAAAGCCACGCCAGGCCCCCAGAGCTGGGAAACCCAAGGGGAAGGCCCAGCTGTGCGTTCCAGCTCCCTGCACCTGTGCACCACGTCCCCACAGGAGCCCCCTTCCAGGACACACTCAGCTCTGGGCTCAGACAAAACACTCTGCAGGCTTCTCCACCTGTCAGGTCCCATCCCACAGCCCCATCCCACCACCTCTTCACACGTCTCCTGAGGAATCCTTCCAGATCCCTCACACCTGGAAATACCGGCTCCCCAAAGCCTCAGCTGTTTTCTGTCTGTCCATCAACACTTATCTGCTAGCATGTCTGTAGTTGCCAGGGGACACATCTCGCTCACCCGCCTGAGCACAGCCCAAGCCCCCTCTCGCAGCATATAGGATGCTGAGCTGGCTGCACTTAAAATGTCCTCAATCCAGGCCCTCCCTGGTGGTGCAGCGGGACAAAGCCCAGCACTAAGAAGCTAAAGCCGCTTCCACATGAGTTTGATCCCCACCTGCCCCGGAGGTGACCCACAGGGCGCGGCAGACCTCTCCTGACCTGCCCGCTGCTCCCCTCAGCAGTGTACTTTGTCACTTGGCATGTTCTGCTCCTCGCTCTGTGTCTGGTGAATCCTCTCACCACCCCTGAGCCTCTGGCCTGTACCCCAGTTCTGTATGCACAAATAGATAAATCTTAAAAAAACAAAATGCACTCAATCATGCACACAGACAGGCTTTCCAGGAGCCGACTCCGAGGTACGACTCAGCTGGGCTCCTTGGGAACTTCGAAGCACCCTGTCCCACCCTGGGAGTTGCCATTCTCTGGCATGCAAGGGCAGAAAGACCTGGTCATGTTTCTGGCCTCCGAACACTTCTTTTACAACAGTCTCAGCGCCATGACGCAGAAATGAAGCCAAAACATATGGATTAAGTTTCCTATAAAGTACATACGGGTTTTATAAAAACAGTCAGGAGGCTCGGATCAAATGCGATCTCCGGCCAGATTTTCTGACTCCAGAATTCACGGAGAACCTTCTTGCTTTAATTATACGTCGAAAGTTACCTCTTCTGCTTGGGTGTCAACACGCTCCACATTCTCAGGGAGGAAAAGTAAGTAACCGAGGAAAAGAAAGCATCTTCTTTCAGTTGCATTTTCTGCAGCCGGTGCCTCACCCTGGACACCGCCGGGCGTGCAGTTTCCTCGAGTCCCCTGGCCCTGCCTCCTCATCTATGGCTGCTGAAGGCCTCACGGGCAATTCTTTCCAACCTTTCTTGTCTCCCTCCGTCCCTCTCTTCCACTGCAAACATTTCTAGGCAGCACTGCCCTCCCCTGCTACTCTCCAGTCAAACACCAGGTGCTAGGGTGGTCTGTGCAGGCCAGTGGCCAAGGAAACCCTGGCTCTCTGGGACACAGCCCATGTGAAGGACTGCGCCACCCTCGTCAGCAGAAACGTCCTTCACTGCAGAGTGCAGGCTCTGACGAGAAGCCCAGCTGAGTCGGGACAAAGCACGGGGAGTGAGCAGAGTGGACAAGGATGAAATGGGAGAGAAAAGGTGGGTAAATGAGGAAATTAGCTCTTAAAGATGAACTAACCCAAGCTAACAGATTCTCCTCCTACTCCCAAAGAAGACCCCCGTCTGCCTCTGCTTCCAAAGGCAAACTGATGCACTCCCTGAGGAGTCTGGAGCTCCACAGTGAGCCCCCACCTCTCAGCAGGAACCCCAGGGCCTGAATTAACACTGGCCACCGACGGCGAGGGACATGAGGGCTCTCCACGCAGCCCTAGAAAGCTTCAGCTCCGTGAGCTGGCCCAGTTTCATCTGCTCTAACTATTGTAATTGCTCACCATTGCCACTTGGAAATCCTTGCAAGGCGTGTTAACAAGGTAAAAGCAGCACTATCTACTTCCCATCAGGAAAGTCATGTACTTAACTTCCCAGCTTCAAGCAAGAGAAGAAAAGAGGGAGCTGCAGCACGAAACGCAGACCCTTTTGTGCCAGAGTAAGATCCAGAGCCTGGATTTTCACAAATAAAACTGCCCAAGAGCTCCCTAGTTGCGACTTAATCTAGTGATGGCTGAGCCGCCAAACATTATCTCAAAGCTGCAGTCTCATCATTTCTTTCTCTGTAAGTGGATGGTAGCTGTCACTCCATGAAGCTGTCTATGCTTGAGGTGTAAGGACAGTGGGGCAGGGCCATAAAGGGGGGGGGGCATAAACACATCACTAGCTGGGGCCCCAAGAGATTTCCAAGCATCTTACATCCACACACAAGTTTACAGCCATCGCTACGCTGGGAAAGAAAATCTGCAACTGAGTGTCATCTTTTCAGTGGGAACCAGTGTTTGCGCAAATCAGAACTGCTTTAGCAGACAGCAAAGACAGCAGGACCCAGAAGTCGCTGGCCCTGCTTTTCTGAAAGGGGCACACCTGCGTGCCTCCATCTCCTTCCCCTCCACCTGCCCCTCAAGCTGTGCTGCCTTCACTGACTCACCTTTGAGCATCACACATCTGATTCTAAGTGTATAGACGACCTCTGCGCTCCAGTGTCTAGCAGAGAGAAATAGCTAGCAACTAAGAAAAGAAGCAAAAGCACTTTAACAGGACTTTAATGCCCTGTCTTACACGGCCGAAATGAGAAAAATGACGAGCAAAGTCCGGGTCTATCATTGGCAGAATAAAAAGTCTAAAAGTCCTTGAAAGAGTCTAACAGAGAGCAGGCACCAAGATGTATCACCTAAGAGAGTATGCATCGTAAGCCACAGAATACTAGCCTGAGGTCTCCAGATGCAGGGATGCATTGGGGTGAGGCTCCCCTGAAATTAGTGACACAACTAGGGGAGTAGGGTGGCTAATACAGAAAAACCGTTTCTGCGAGAAATCCAAAGACAGGCACGATGCTGCCAAATTGTAAACCGTTTACAGTGGCATGGCCCATACTCACTCACATCACCAATGTAAACCAATACAACAAGAGAAGACCAGGTGAACTCCAGATTATGGAAGTCTACCAGAAGGCTGAAACACAATGAGAATGTTGCAGAACCAAGCTCATCATGGTAGTAAAACCGTTTTAAAATGAGAGTCCAGGAAACTAAGATGCTCTTGTACACCACGGGGTCCTACGTCCAAACCGCAGCTCTTACCAAAGACCATCTTACCTTTTCATGATTTTCAATTAAGATTTCCACAACAATATTCTGAAACTTCAAATCCATGATGGCAGCCACAGTTTCTTCCTGCGGCCTCATCAGAGTCGGTCCAAATACCACTCCCAAGTTTGCCACCGTCATCAGGTTCTGCTTGGAGTGATTTGAAACACTAAGATGGGAGAGGAGAGAAAACAAAGGTGTCTGGGTAAAAGGCAGGCAACGGGTACAAGCTGCAGGACTCTGCTGTGCACACTCCTCGGTATTTCCCTAAAAGCCAGAAGCCAAGGATTTGCTGGTCCCCAAGGTCTACCCCTAAAATAAATGGGTCTGACAAAACTACCTGCTGAGGCCCCATCTACTTCCTGCTTCTCTCTGAATTTTGCTCTAGCCTCACTGGCTTTCTGAGTAATTCCACCTGTGTACCAGATATGCGCCCACTCTGGCTGTTCTCTTCTCCTTAAGACATCCCTATGGGCCCTCCCAGGTGGCACCCCACTTAAAGCACAGCACTAAGAAGTCGGCCGAGGCTGCTTCGGTGAGAGTTCGATCCCCGCCCCGGAGGTGACCCACATGGCACGGCAGACCTCTCCTGTGTCACCAGCTGCTCCCCTTAGCATTGTACCTCATCAATATGCAAGTTCTGCTCCCCACTCTGTCTCTGGTGAATCCTCTCACCACCCCTGCACCTCTGGCCTGTGCCCCAGTTCTGTATGCACAATTTTTTTTAAAAAAATCCTTTCTTTCTCCAGATTAGTATGTTCTTACTTCCAGAGACTCTAAAACTACATGCAATTGTAAGAATTTCCTTCAAAAACACACACAGAGTATCCGTTCTTACCCCTTCAGCCCAGAATCCCTTGCTGTACAGTAAACAACCTGGACAACTGCCCATAGTCACTCTGCCTTTGAATTCTGGTCTTCACTCAAAGGTCTCCTCTCATGAGATGTTCTACAACAACACTCTCTTTTAGCCTCACAACTGACCTATGTCATTTTTTGATGATCTTTTTATTCTCTTTCCCCTCATAAAAAGAAGGGAATTCCTCAAAGCAACGACTGTCTATCTTATCCAGTTCTGTATCCTTTTATTTACTAGTACCTCAACAAATGAATTGCTGGGCTAATATTAGTACTTCAGGCAAGTTAGAATACCCTCTGGGCTTCAGTTTCTCTTGTTAAATAAAGGACCTAAAACATAATGTACCCTCATCTACCTCTCACCTCTGAAATTCTGCAATTACTGTGATCTAGAGGTCACTTATATGTGAAGAAAGGGTTAATTTCTCAACAATAAATCAATTTTCCTTGCTTTTTAAAAGAAGGCATAAAAAGAAAGGAATGGCCCTATAACATAACTACCTATTACTGGATTAAGTCAACTTAAAGGACATGTTTAAACTTAGAGAGTTAGGTAGGTGTGAAACTAAGCTAAATATGCTCGCAGTCTTATAATCACATTTCCAAAATCTGTGTACAGGGAAATGTGTAATATTCTCTTCTTTACTTCAAATCAACCCTGAGATGCTGGCAGCGATGTTAAGCAAATAATTACCCGACTTTAGGGAAGCATCCTATTTCAACACTCTTGTCCAAAACACACACAATGAGTCAACTCTGCAGCCTGCCATTCCAGGTGCGGGCCCTGGTATCGTGTGCGCCACCCCAGCGCCAAGTGTCGCGAATCCAACTCCCTGCACGGCACCCAGAAGAAAACAAAGCAAGCTTGGAAGAAAAAGAGGCTCACTTTGTTAGGTGTTTCACCAAGATATCCAACATTTCTTTATTTTTCTCTGGCAGTTTGTGGACCAAGAAGTGGATAGCATTAACCCGAGATTCTGGGCTGCCACTCTCTGTAGAAAAAAAGACAAAAAGTAGTTCAGTTAGGATGGGACTCAGAACCAAGCATATTCCCAAAAAGCAATTCCAATGGCTCATCTGCTCACTCTTTTCAACCAAAAATTTAAGCACATTTTGCTAGCTTTAGGGGGAAAAGGAATTTTGTATCTTCTATGCCCCCTTGAGGAGGTGCCACATTTGATGCCCTGCCCTCCGTTCCCATTAAGAATAAAACTCCTGGGGAGCTCCTTCTAGCTGCAGCTCCTACCAGCTGTGCTTCATCTGCTCACCTCCTATAGCGTGGGGCCTGGTCACTAGGTCATAGCGCCACAGAGGGTTGTAAATACAGTATCAGCAAATATGACACTCCCTGCTTGAGCTGAATTGTATTTCTGAAAAAGATCTTCTCAAGTTCTAAGCTCCCAGTACTTGAATGTGCTTATTTTAAATGCAACCGGTTCTTCTGCTCAGGTATGGTAAGACATGCAGATACAGAAGCGATGGTCACAAGTGAAGAATTTACAATAGCAGGTCCCCAAAAAGCAGAAGACCCACCATGCCCTGCAGAGCCACCTGGGGAAGCACCAGGGCCAGTCAGGAGGCAAAATGGGGGCAAGAAGATTTTACGCAGGAATGGCAGAGTGAGGAGGACTGGGGGTGACGAGTTTCAGTGATTTCAGGGGCCTCTGCAACACAGGGGCTCTTGTGAGCTATCTGAGGTGAGTAGGACAGAAAACTCGATAAAAGTACAAGAATCTGTAGGGGGCGGGGATTACGAGTAGGTTCTAGATTGGTCTGTTTGCACAGAGAACGCGTGCTCTGGTCTGCTATCCATGGAAACAGGCTGGCCCAGGAGGGTCATTAAGGCTTAATGAGACATGTTCAGTACTGTGATCTTATTTGCAAATAAGGTCACCACACACATCATTACTTAATATGGCATCATACTGGAGTATGATAGCCAATATTCATAGCCACTATGACTATTCTTATAAGAAAACAAAGAGGGAAAATGCCCACTAGGATATGCAGTCGTTATGGACAGCAGTATAGAGATTCCTTTAAAAATTTAAATGATCCATTTATCCCACTTCTGGGTATTTACCCAAAGAAATCCTAAACTTCAATGAAATTCAGCCCTATGTTCGTGGCAGCATTATTCACAATTGCCAAGAGCTGGAAGTTTCCTCAGTGGCCATCAATGAATTAGTAGATAAAAGTGTGGTTGATATACTAAATGGAATTCTACTGAGCTATAAACAGAGTGACATGAAATTGTATCATTTGGCACAACATGGGTGGACCCAGAGGATATTATACTAAGTGAAACAAATCATACATAGAAAGATAAACACTGTGATTTCACTTACATGTAGAAGATGAAGAAACAAAACTAACGAATGAGCAAAATGAAACCAAATTCTTATACTCTAAGAACAAAACATGGATTACAGAGTAAAGGAGGGTTGGAAAAGTGGGTTAAAAGCCTCAATCAGTGATAGGTGGAAATCTGACTTTTGTCTTATTAAACAGATATATATATGTGTGTATATATATATATATGTATATGTATATATATGTTGATTTATAATGTTGTATAACTGAAATCTATATAATGTTACCAACCAATGTTACTTCAATGAGAACACTGAAGTAACATTTAAAAGAAATTTAAATAGTCAAGAAGAGATTGAGGAATAGAAAAACTGGAGAAGGAGTTTTCGGTATTACTAAGTCTTCCAGCTGACTTAGCGGGATAAAAGAGGGGGCTAGTGGAGAGGGGGTTGGGGGAAGATTTCAGACCACAGATTCAGAAACCAAGGGGCAGAGCAGATCAAGAAAGGGAAGTTCATTTTTTCCACAATGATCAAAGTTGAATTTTTCCTGATTAAAGAAAATCAAACATTTACCTTGCTAAAGTTTTAGAAAACACAGATTAAAATTTAAAAGTCATGAAAAATGTGAAGTACATACTTTTGGAAATGAACATGCTGTTAAGCTATAAAGAACTTCAACAATCAGTTGGAAAAGAGGGAAACGACTCCTAGGAAAATGGGGGAGGCGGGGTACAGAAGGAAATGGAGCAGGGAACTTCATGAAAGAGGATCCCATGTGAATGATAAATGTATGAACAAATGTTAAACCTGATTAGTTATCAGGGAAATGGAAATTTAAAACCACAATGAAGGACCCATCAAATAGCCTGACACTAAGACTGGGCCAGGGCAAGAGCAGCAGGACTGTCACACCCCACCAGTGCACACGGTGAAGTGGGGTGTCCACTCTGGAAAACATGTTGGTGGGGTCCACTCCAGCTGAACTCATTGCCCACAACCCAAAATGTCCACTCATGTCCCCAAAATAAATGTACACAAACATTCACAAAACGACATCACGCCCTTCATAACTTGTCTCAACCAAAACAACTTCAATATCCATCAAAAGCAGGATAATCCATCGTGGGGTCTTCTGACAATGGGATTCAGAATGGCAATCAGCGAATGAACCACTGAGTCACTCAACACAGGTGAGTCAAGAGAAGCCAGACACACAGAAGTACATGCTCTGTGACTCCACTTTTATCCAGCTCAAGGCAGCCACTCTACCCTGTGGTATGAGCCCCCAGGGAGTTCACACATCAAGTGGTCGAGAGGGCAAGTGGGGTTCAGGTAACAGGCGACTTCTTGATGGGGACGCTGATTCATGGTCTCTTCATGAATCTTGGCGAAGCATCACTGAGATGTACACTCATAGTTGTGCACATTTTGGTTATTTCAACACAAATTTCACTTAATGAAAAGTACCCAGAATAAACGTCACTCTAAAAAGGATGAGTCAGGATATTTTAGGTTTAATCCTTTCAGAGTTTTCTTTCCTTTTTGTAATGAAATGTTTCACCAGCCTACTTCACTGAATCTGTGCCATTAAAGGGAGTTCCTCCTCACCACCGATTTTATGAAGTCAGGTAGTGTGTCAAGTTTGTTCCAGTTTACACTTCCAATAGCCTTATTTGAGAGTAAGCAATGACATCTCACAACAGAGGACACTGAGACAATTGTTACTAAAGACAAAGGAGGCAAAAACTACAAAATGAAAATGGCAGATGATATACCAGAAGGCTAATCATCAAAGCATGCTACATCACCAAGAACTTGGATATGGCCTGAATTTTGTACAGAAAGCAAAAGGCAGGAAAGAAAATATAACTGTGTCTTCAGCAGTAATGCCCTACTAAATAAAAGCTGGAGAAAACCTAAAGCAACAAAAATAGAGCACCATTTTAATTCACAGTTTTGATATTAAAAATAAAATTGAGGGCCCTCCCTGGTGGCGCAGCGGGTTAAAGCACAGCATTGAGAATCTGAAGCCACTTCCGCATGAGTTCGATTCCCGCCTGCCTCCTGCCCCGG